AAAATTGGTGTTGGATATAGAATAATACACGGAAAAAAAAAAAGAAGACAATTTAGCATCAAAAAAAATCCTAATACTCTTAAAAGAATTAAGAAGAAAAAAAAAACATAAAACGTAAAATTGGTATTGGGTATGTAGATGATCTCAAATTACCATGAAAAATATATGGAAAAAAAATATGTAGATGATCTCAAATTACCATGAAAAATATATGGAAAAAAAATATGTAGATGATCTCAAATTACCATGAAAAATATATGGAAAAAAAATATGTAGATGATCTCAAATTACCATGAAAAATATATGGAAAAAAAATATGTAGATGATCTCAAATTACCATGAAAAATATATGAAAAAAATATATTTGTCAAATAGAGTCCATATAAAATAGGTAAAATTAATATAATTTAAATTAGGTTTGAGTTTATAGAACTCTATATGTAATTAAAAAAAAATACATACTAACGCGACTCTCTTAGAAAAAGTAAGCCATTATAATGTGTCACCTAAGTATGAGAAAAACACAATTTTAGAAAGAATTTTGACAAGATGATATATTGATGTGGCATTTTAATAAAAAAAAGAAAAAATGAGAGATGTGCCACATAAGAAAATGAAAAATTAAGAGCAAACACTACTTTAATAAATATATATATATATATATATTCATATAATTTATTGGCAAGGCTAAAAAATCATACTCTAATATTAATTTAAACACAAGGAAGTAATATTTTTTCATACTCAAAAGTGATGAAATGTGCCATTTCTCTTGGTCTCCATTGCCTTAGATCATGCATGATAGGGTGATGGTCTTTTCTTGGTCATTTTGCATTTATTGAACTTGCTTCTATAAAATTATTACTTGAATACTTATATATATTAATTTTATTTAAATTATTTATATATTTTGATAATTTTAGTTCTATCATATTATAAAAATGTAATTATCATATAATAATTTTGTATGATATATATTAAATTATAAAATAGTAAAATAAATACTCATTTTAATATTAAAAATAATAGTTAAATTAGAAGAAAAATTAGTAACATAAAATTAAAAGTAATTCTAATTAGTTAATTTTCTTTTATATTCATTTGGAAAATAAAAATATGTAGAAATAGAAATTATATAAAATTTATCAAAAAAATTAAATATAAATATGTTGTAGTTGGATTATCATATAATGATTTTATATGATATATAATTATAAGATTGTAAAATAAACATTCTTAATTAAATTAAAATATTAACTATATAAAATAAATTCAACAACGACTAACTAAGAAAAAATTACATAACAACATTTAAACCCAAAAAGAAAAAATAATGAAAACATTCAAACGATGGTTACATCTCAGTGTGTAAAGTGCTTAATCATCTGTAATATAATGTCAAAACATAAAAGAACTTACTGTTTAACAATTGAAAAAGTAACTCAAGCAGTAAATCCAAACTTTAGAAATTCCTCGAAAGTATCATTGTTGTACAAGTTTTTCCTCCTATGAGTTGTGATTATATAAAATAATATAAGAAATAAAGTATAATTTTATATATTGAACCACTAGAAAATTTAAACGACAAATTCATAATATAGAATAATATAAAATTGGTGTTGGATATAGAATAATACACGGAAAAAAAAAAGAAGAAGACAATTTAGCATCAAAAAAAATCCTAATACTCTTAAAAGAATTAAGAAGAAGAAAAAAACATAAAAAGTAAAATTGGTATTGGGTATGTAGATGATCTCAAATTACCATGAAAAATATATGGAAAAAAAATATGTAGATGATCTCAAATTACCATGAAAAATATATGAAAAAAATATATTTGTCAAATAGAGTCCATATAAAATAGGTAAAATTAATATAATTTAAATTAGGTTTGAGTTTATAGAACTCTATATGTAATTAAAAAAAAATACATACTAACGCGACTCTCTTAGAAAAAGTAAGCCATTATAATGTGTCACCTAAGTATGAGAAAAACACAATTTTAGAAAGAATTTTGACAAGATGATATATTGATGTGGCATTTTAATAAAAAAAAGAAAAAATGAGAGATGTGCCACATAAGAAAATGAAAAATTAAGAGCAAACACTACTTTAATAAATATATATATATATATATATTCATATAATTTATTGGCAAGGCTAAAAAATCATACTCTAATATTAATTTAAACACAAGGAAGTAATATTTTTTTTAAAAAAAATAAAAATTTAAAAGACTTTCTTGTAATAAAATCTTAATTGGGAAGGGTCTTTTACTAATTTATAATATGTATAGGCATATATTTTATTTTGGTAATTCTTTTAGGAACTAAATAAGTTTGAATTATATATTTTAGATATTTAATAGATTCAATCGATAATTTAGAAAGTGTAATAAACCCCTGTAAGAATGATTGTATTTCAAACTTAAACAATTTACTTAAAACATTGTTGTTGTTGCTGTTTTATGTTTTTTTGTTTTTATTTTTTTTTATTTTTTTATCAACAAATGAAAATTTTATTAAAACTATAAAATTAAAGGTACAAGATTATTGCAAAGAATTTTAAATTCTCTATTTAAACTATATATCATTGCAAGATTATTGCAAAAAAAATTAATTCATGGTAAGATTCACTCCTTATGAGTATTCTGCATTTTTCTTATAATGTACTGTTCAATGACTAAACTTATCTATACTCGTAGAATTACTCTGATATTTTGAAATTAGAGATGAACAAAAGAAACAATACTCATATTTCATTTTGAAATTTTGCTTTTGCCTTCAAACTCAATAAGGTTATTTGTCCCACTCTTCATACCATTATCAATCTCTTACTCTTTTTATTATTAATTTTGATAACATGACAATATGCGATAGATATGAGATAGAGAGTGAAATAAATAATCTATATTTTTCAAACCAAACTCTCCCTTTTGATCTAATGACGAGACAAATAAGTAAGATAGATGGTATGTATTCTTCGAACCAAACTCCAACCTTTCAATCTAAAGGCATTTGTTGCTGCAGCCAGTTAGGTTGCCCAAACAGTAGGGATTGGTATGTTCTCCATCCCAACCCAACAAAATTCACACAAAACACATGGGAAACGTATCACAAAGGAACAACTTTAGCTAGATAGTTGAGATTATATGTGTGTATGTATCAATAGAGAAGTCTCGAATGAGAAACTTGTGGGGGATACACAGGCAAAGGCGAAGTAAGAGCCAACTCAGCAACTTTGTGGATATATATCATATTAGGTGAATGTTTGGGAAGTTGCTATTTTAGTAGGTTATTTTAGTTTTTAACTATTTTAGTAGGCCAAAATTTTTATGTTTAGGAAGATGATTGGATTTTTTTGTAATTAAATGTGATGTTTGTGAGAGAAAAAGTAAAATGATTATGAATTTTATGTGATATTTTGTCTTATTGACTATTTTAACCTATTTTATCTTGTAAATTTTAACCTAAAATAAGGTAAAATCTTTCTTCCCAAACACCCCGACATTGTGCTTAGGTATTGAACCATGACTTGTGGGGTACTTTCTCCTAAAAAATCCCTTTTACCTACCTCTTTGGCTGTCCTCTATCTCTCCCCTCCCCCCACTATCCACCCCCATGTGAGGCTCCTGACCCACACATGCATGGCATGCTCTTGATAAAAGCTTCATAAATGACAACCTTCAATTCTTCTAAATAGTATATTATTGTTCTTTCTTTATTATTTTGTTAAATTATTGTGGAATAAAAGCTCACTTCACATCTTATTCCTCCAAAGAATAACTTTGTTCATAACACACTAGTACACTTGATCAATTCAAAAAATAAACTCTCAATTTAAAAAATACATTGATCATATTTACTATTTTAGACCAATCAAAATATTAGTCCCTATCATTTTCTGTCCTTTGTTTCGGGGTTAGACTTTGGAGGGGAGGGCACATTTGAATAAATTTAGTCTCTTTCTAAAACTCATTCCAAATGTACAAGTTGTCAAACATATTGACTGTGGAAAAGCATACTCACAGCATTAATATTTGAATCATGTTTGATCATGTGTTCATTTCATAAAAATCTTATTTATATCAGTAAACTTATTTAGTGCATCTACACGATAATTTTTCACATCATTGAGAACCATGGATAGCGTAGTGGTTGGACATTTTTCAACACTCCGCTCATTCATCAATGTTGTGACCCAATAATCTTTTTCCTCCTCTTAGTAGAAGACTAATAAATTTCAAAAAGTTGATCAAGTAATAAAGACTAAGTAAAATCTAAAATCTTAACAAGTGAAATAGATGTGTAACCATATCATATACTCTCAAACATCAACCTTGTGGTTAGTATAAAACCTAAATCTTGTCACCAAAAATATGAATAAGAAAATGCAAAATTGGAAAACCTTAGATGAACCCACACACATAAATATTCACATAATTACACACATGCATGTATAAAGGGCCTCTAGCATTCTTGCGTCAAACTACCAACCACTCCCAATTGTCAGACCATGTTTCCGACAGGGTTAGGTAGGTTTTACAGCTCAATTATATATGCACATGGGACGTACTCCTCACTTCAAATTTCAGGACCCTACCTAGATTATAGTTTCAATATATATTCTTCCTATTATATAAAATATGATAAATTAAAGTTTCAATATATTTTTTTTATTCTTCCTATTATATAAAATATGATAAATTACAAACTGTTTTGAAATTTAACCCATCTTCTTCATACATTAAATCATCAAAAAATTATAAGATTATGAATGCATCGTGTTTACATGCAATTCTAATATTATATATATGATTAAACTAAAATGTGGTTTTGGCATAAAGCCCCATGTATCCAAATCTGAATCACATGAGAGAGAACTATTAATAATGCAAAAACCTTTCTTTAAAGATGGCCTACTTGTTTCATCAAATCTAAAATAGATTTCAATAACAAGTAGCTTTTCCTAGGAAGGGAATGAAAGACTAATCATAAAAATAAATAAATAAACTCCTATCATCCATGCAATCTAATATTTACCTGCAACATGGGGAGAAAAAGTAAACTAGTATCTTTCATCTAGTTGGCAGAGAGCATATTTAAAGCCACCAAGTATGTATTATTATGACTACCACCAAAATGAAGAAAAAAACATCAACTGTCCAGCTCCTTTTCTGGTAGATATTGCTCATTCCTATAATGAAATCATACAGGTGTTGTATATAAACTCAATAGAGTGATTTTAGAAGAGCCCTTTTTATTTCATCTTTTTTCGAACTTCATACAAGTAAGTCAGGACCACCACGGCAACAGCAACAGCAACGCCAACGGCACTTTGTGCCAATACAGTACCATCCTTCACGACTGCCCCGGAACCAGAGGAACCTGGGGTGAACCCTAATTCAGAGAGTTTCTTGTGTGATACTGCATAATCTCTAAAGAATGCATCCTCATCCTGCCATGAGAATGACATCGAAAATAGTGAAAACTTGAAATTAATACAAATTGAAGATTGGAAAGAAAACAAAAAATGATAGCTGAGTACCAAAGCAAATCCTATTCACCTTTCCAGAATAGATCGGGCAATTATTATAACATCAAATTGCTCGGATAGAATTAGTCACCTATATTAGGATTTAGACGGCCAAGATGAAAATATTGACAAGGAATGCCATGTGGTTTCTGGTCAGGTTTAGGTAAGCATAGATTGGACTATATTAGACGTAATTCAGTTTTTCAGCCAGAAAAGGAAGAATGGGTGCGTGGGAACACTGGGATGTCAATTCAGATGCAAGAGTCCTAAAAAGTTAAAAAGTCAAAAAATCAACATTTTACTAACTTCCCAAAACACCACTATTAGCATCAACCAGAGACTAATCTACCAATCCAGTCACATTTCTTTTCAGGTATTAACATAATAATAAATAGAAAATGCTTATAGGCTGGTTTCGGGTTCATCAATAGTTCAATCAACTATGAAGAATGGGTACTTTGAAAAATATGTTGTATCCATATTGGGTATTTACTGGCGTATGGTACCTTGTATGGTTACTTCTGCATATGTACCGGATACACGAAAAAAGTACCCAAACTTTTTTTTTCTAAATTTTTGACGTACCTACTATATACTCAAGCCATACCGTGCTTTAGTTGAAATAATATTTTTTTCTACTACAGAGATAAAACTCTTTTCACTAGACTTCTTTTTTATTTTTAATTTTATACTTAGAATGATTTAAAATTCAACTATGGTTTGTAAGTTATTTAGGCCAAGTTTGGGAAGACTAAATAAGTGTACTTTTTGACTTTTTATGAAATATGGGTTGGGTTTGGGTTGGGTTTGAAGTGATGTGTTAGAGGTGATGTGACTTAAATAAGATGATGTGATTTAAATAGGATAGTGACTTTTTGACTTTTTGAATTTTTTAAGAGTAGCCAAACTTGGCCTTAATATATTGACATTTAATTTTGATTTATACCTTTACTTTTCGCATTAAATGTTAATTATAAGTTGGATCTTAAAAATTAAACCATTTAATTAATTTTTACATTACTCTAAATTAAAAATAAATCTTTTTTACAAGCGTATCAAGCCGTACCCATATCCTACTTTTTTTAGATTTTACCGTATCAACATACTCATATCATACCAGTACCAATACTCGTACCCGTGCTTCATAGTCAATCAATAATCTACTTAAACCAGCATGATTGAAATCACTTTAACTTTGATACCTATATTAGATCTAGTGAATCTAACATCATGACCGACTTTACTATAAGTTCGTGAATCATTAAATAGTGTCACAAAGGAAAAAAGACTCCACCATGTGTCAGCCAATGGCTCACGACAGACATTACCATCTGTAAGTTATTGGTCATTTGGTTGAGATAAATGCGAAGTACCTTGGCATACAGTTCAACATAGCGATGGAATTCAGGATCTTCCAATAAAGCCTTGTCCGTTGGAAGTTTCAACAACCCCTCTGATTCTCCTTTTAGCAGCTCCCTGTTTTCAAAAACTAACACCGTAAAAAGGAAAGAACTATAGAAACAAAGGCTTTTCTTTCTCAAATTAACGCAAAAAACTTTAAATTTGGCAATTTCATCCGTGAGTCTTACACAAAGAACGAATTATCAAACTTCAGAGGTTCCTTAGTCCAGGGGCCATCAAAACCTGATCTCTCTGGATGTGCCCTTCCCTAAATCAAAAAACCAACAAGACTCAATAAATTTGAAACCCAATATTAGGAAAATGTTGCAAAGAAATTATTTTGCTTCTGAGAGCAGCAACTGCTTTTGAGTTTGCTCACAAAAGCAAAACATTGTACTTCCAGAATACCAACAAACACCATGTATTCAAATGTAAAGAGAAGATTTGTTGTACTATATTTCCACAAGTAATGTAAAGAGAAGATTACCAAAGTGTGGCCACCTGAGAGTGCCACGATATCCTTGTCAGATAAACCCATCCGGTAGAATATGTCCCTCAAATGTGGAACCCCTACATTCGATATTTTCATGAGTAAATATGCAAGATTCAACTGCTGTAGAGTGTACCTTAAAAGCTAATTAAAATTGTACATACACATGATCATGCATAAACACATTTTTCAAAAGGGACCAAAGTGAGGGGGAAAGGTTTTCTGTCTGCTCATTCTGTCAGTTCATGCAGTGATGTGAGGAACAACTCTCCTGAAAGGCACAGTTCTATTTCCTCAAATACCCTTATTTCTTATAAATGAAAAGCCCCATAGGAAGCCATAGTAGACTAATATAATATGACACAACACAACTATAATGATGATCATATGCTATAATAAACCAATGGCAACCTTAATAAGGTCAAGTTTATAGTAATAGATGCAATGATGTCTAATTCATGGTTCACATAACCTCTTTTTTTTGTGGGCCACATAGCTATTATTTGCCAAAAAGGGAAAATGAAGGAGAAAAAAAAAGAAAAGCAAGGAAAATTACTCTTCAAATTGATCATTGGCTTTCGTTTTATCTTCTGACTAAAAAAACAAACACCACATTAGTACACCTTGCTTCTATTACTGTATCAACCAGACCTTTAAATATCTCACTTTTGCCCAATTATTATCCAAGCACCAATGTATTGGATCCTGGAAAGTTGAACTTTCCTTTCCTTTTTTTCTTTTTCTTTTTCTTTTTCTTTTCTTTTCTTTTCTTTTCTTTTCTTTTTTTTTTTTTGTGTGCGCGCGCGCAAATCAATGGAAGTTGAACTTGCTACAAATCTGGCCCTTTGAATCCACCTATGGTTTCCATAGTGTGATTAAAACTGAATTTTTTTAACAAAACAACGAAATCCGATGTTACCAATTTAAATACTTCACAACTGTTCCTGTAATATATTACTGAACAGTCTAAGACTCCTGCACTAATATCGGAGTAGAATTTGAAGACCTTTAGTAGCATTTGGAAGTCGTCCTTCCTTTGGAGAAATCTTTGAATCCTACAAGAAAACAGAACCATTAAACAAAATGCACTTATATCACCCCAAGTTAGTTTCTCATCATGTAACACATCAACATACCTTTCTACCAGGAACAAAGTCAATGGTTGGACCCCCAGTGACCTCAACTGCAACAACACCAGCAAGCTGAAAGCAAAATTGGTTTGTTATGAGTCAGACTTCACAGATAAATAACTGAGAACTGGTACACTAAAGGGTCCATTATACAACGATTAACATTCATTATTAATCAAACATTGATAGCTTCAATGGTATTAGAACAATAGTGCCTTCATCCATGCAATAAGAGAAAATTTCAAGCCATGAAATGGTATGGATTAGTTTTTTTGAGAATGGATATGATTTAAAAAAGCGTTCTAATAGGAGGTTAAAGGAATCAAAATGTTATTAAAATAAAATAAAAAACACTACTGAGAAATATTATAGAATATTAAATTATAGAAATATTAAATTTTTAGGGTCTTTTCATCAAAAAAAAAAAATCAAAAATTCAAAAAATTTGAAAAATTGTACTTATGCATGAAAAAACCATGTGCTCCTTTTTATAACACTGAAAAACATATTACCATGGTCTTCCATGGTTTGGAGAAAACAAAAAAGTTCTATTTTACCAATATTACTTTAGGGCATAACTTTTATAAGTACTATATACTTGCCTTTTAAAAAAATTGAATTTAAGCTTTGAGAGACTTGGGTTGGACGGTGTTTACAATTTTGAGTGGACTCAGATCAATACTCAACGTGTTGAATTTTTTTTAGGGGTGACAAATGACAACCCAATCAACCTAAGTTGTTTAAAAAAAATAATAATTCAAAGGTGAACAATCTGATGTCCAAATGGTGCAGTCCCTGAATTCACTCATGCTGCTATGACATTGCGTACAATTTAGCATGCATTTTGCACACATACCCATAACATTAAAATTGTTCTTATCCTTGCCTCCCAATTATTGCTTAGATATGTTACTCTCTCCAAACTCAAGTTGGTTAGTTCCTATCCCCCTTGAGTTTGCGGGGGGCTGTTAAAATCCACCTCACCTCACCTACTTCACCCACTTAAACCTACTCCACTAAACCTAACCCACTACACCACTACCACCTTACCTACTCCACTAAACCTTCACCCACTTAAACCTACTCCACTAAACCTAACCCACTACACCACTACCACCTCACCTACTCCACTAAACCTAACCCACTACACCACTACCACCTCCACTTCACCTACTCCTCACCTACTACACACTCACCCTCTCCTATATATAGGAATCATTGTAACCATAACATTAATATATCAATCAATAATAATACATACAATTTATTCTCTCTCTTTCTCTATACATTATTTCTTACAGTTTACAATTTTGAGTGGACTCAGATCAATACTCAACGTGTTGAATTTTTTTTAGGGGTGACAAATGACAACCCAATCAACCTAAGTTGTTTAAAAAAAATAATAATTCAAAGGTGAACAATCTGATGTCCAAATGGTGCAGTCCCTGAATTCACTCATGCTGCTATGACATTGCGTACAATTTAGCATGCATTTTGCACACATACCCATAACATTAAAATTGTTCTTATCCTTGCCTCCCAATTATTGCTTAGATATTGCACAATATGAGGTGCATAGGGGAATATAACCAGACTACAGGCAAACAAATGGACATCTTAACAAGTTCAGAATTTCCTTCATATTGGACAGGTAAAATTGCTTAACCAATCAGCATTTATCTCTGTTCAAAAAAAAAAAAAAAAATCAGCGTTTATCTGTTTCAAACACTACTAAGAGAATTTTTAACGATTTTTTTAATCTACTTCTGTTGGGGGTTTTTTTAAAGAACATAAAAAAATAATTGTGTAATCTTTTTTTCTGATGAAATGATTTACTTAAAACCTCATTCAATCAAATGTGACATCTATTACTCATGATTTTAGGTATGGGGGTACTCTAAATAGAAATTTTTTCAAATAGTTTCACAAGGTGCACAATCTTGCTCCAGAATCAACACATAAAAAACCAAAGATGAGGGGAAAAAACAACAAATGAAAACCAGATAGGCAGACGTGACAAACTCTTTTACTAGAATTAATTATATGTAAGGATTTTCATGCATTAAAAGCTATCCTCCAGCAGCCTTTGTCAATTTTCTTGATTCCACAAGGTAATATTCAAGTCCAAGACACAAGGGCACAAATTCTTTCAATCCGGTAATCCTCACCTGATAAAGGTCTGCATATGTAATCTTTGGATGTTTAACCTTTATGTCTTCTGCCATTAGAAAGAAAAACATTCATTAAATGATGAATTAAAAAAATTACAAGCCAATTGCTTAAGAAAAAATGAAATTAAAGGTGAAATCCATCATGAATTCTTAATTACAGAGTCATAATAAAATTATTCAGGGTCACCAATTAAATGAATGAAAAGCAAAACAGCTACTTTAAACATGTGTATGCTAGAGATGCAATACTGCAATTTCTATACAGGTGTAAGTTGAGATAAAAATGAATGAAAAAACTCAGAATCAACAAATACAGAGGTCCCGTTAAGGACAGACATCTCTAGAAGACTACATTGACGTAACCATCCAAGGTTTTTCAATGATTTCATGTAAATCCATCTTTCCATCTTTGTATTCATTCCTTTCTTATCCCATCCCCAATTATTTTAATACCAGTTTACTAGGGATTGCAAAGGAGTAATAAAAATCTTTGATGTTATCTGCTTGACTGAAGGGAGAGAGAGAGAAAAAAAAAATGGAAAAGAAAAAAATAATCATCAATTCATGCATAGCATGCAATAAAATAAAGAAAAATAATTTTAAAAAATAAAAAATAAAAAAGAACTTATTTTGCATGTATCACATTTAGGACCCAATGTAATTAAGTTTAGAGTATATTTGTGCTGCCTACAGATCATACGCTGCCGGCATAATTTTATTTATGTTTTATATGTATGAGTTTTTTTGGTAATTACTATAAATGTGGAACATGATCTGTAGTTTCAATCGGAGGTTGTACTATGGGCCAAGCTATAATTTTGGCTCTCATGTGTGGTCTACATTACGTCTAGAATATTCTTAATTTCTATGTAGGAGTCTTATTCCTGTCAAAATTAAAAGAAACGCAACACTCTATAAGCGATATTCCAATGGGTAATGCCATACAAATATAAATTTTATTAGAAAATCTCTTACAAAATGACATGACATTTTATTGACCTTTTATCCCAAACTAAAACACTTGCCATTGCGGTTTAGAATTTAAAAAATGTCACTACCACATTGTTTTGGATGGGTTTTCTAGTATAAATTTCCTATTTGTGAATCATATTCTAGGTCCACTCAATGGAGTTAAAATTTGAGGAGCAATTTCATTCTCCTTCTTTTCTTCAACACCTTTAAATTTTTTTTTGATAAATAAGCAAGCGACCTTTATTAAAAAAGCATCAAGATGATGGAAAGAATTACAAAATCCCAACAAAGGGAATCACACTCTAACAAATAACCTCATCCAAAAACTCTAAAAAACCAAACATATTCGGATCAATTTTCAATTCTAACCAACTATACAAAACAACTAGTAAGCGACCCTCAAGCCAACTAACGGTACACTGAATCTCCTGAAACATATGTCTATTCCGTTCCAACCACAGTGACCACATCAAACAAAAAGGAACCAAATACCACACACGTCGTCGACAACGACCAAACCGAGCCCCACACCAGCTCCACAGCATATCCACCACTCGCCGCGGCTAAGCCCAACCAATCCAAAAAAGAGAGTAAACAAAATCCCACAGACGGAACGCCACGGAACAATGCAAGAAAAAAGTGATCTATGGACTCTGCATCTTCACAACACATACAACATCGATTAACGAGAATATGACCACGTGGCATCAAGTTATCAAGCGTAAGATTCCGACCCAAAGCCACCGTCAACATAAAGAAAACCACCTTAGATGGAACCCGTGGCACCCAAACACTCCTCTAAGGAAAATCCTGTCTCACCTTCTTCACCATGCTCCAATAGAATGATGAGACTGAAAAACACCCCTTAGCCCCAACATTCCACCCCAAAATATCCTCCTCCACCCCAGTCACACCCAACCCATATAAGAAACTCCATAACTCCAACAACTGATCAACCTCCCAATCATGAACCTAACGCCATAACTGAATATCCCAAACCACCCCCTCCCCTCCCCACAAGTAAGATGCCACCATAGCCTCCTAATCCACCACAATGCTAAAAATCAAAGGAAAACGATCCGCCAACAAAACAACACCACACCACCTATCCTTCTAGAAGCTCACCCTCAACCCATCCCCCACCTGAAAGCCCACCCTATCCCAAAACTCCTTTCTCCCCAACCAAATCCCTTTCCATAACCCACAACCATGAAAACCCCTCACTATCCCTGACCCCCATTCCCCCCGACCCACTCCATACTTAATAGCCACCACCTGTATCCATAAACGCCCTGGCTCCCAAGCAAAACGCCATAGCTACCCCTTGCCACCTTTGGTTGACAAATCCGCCCCCCATCCAGCAAATGATACCTAAAAACATCCCCTCCACTACCCCACAGGAAATCCCTTTGTAACTTCTCAATCTGCCTCGCCACAAACACTGGAATAACATGCAAAGATATAAAGTAGGTCGGAATGCTACTTAACACACTCTTGATCAGAGTCAGTCGGCCCCCGACCGAAAGATATTGCCTCTTCCAGCCTGCTAAACGACGTTGAATGCACTCCACAACCCCTTCCCATACCCTTTGAGCTTTAAACGACGCTCCCAACGGCAAACCCAAATAAGTCACCAGTAAAGTCGACACCTCACAGACCAACACCGCCGCTAAAACAGGCAAGCCCTCCACATTACCCACAAGAATCAGCTCGGATTTCCTCAAATTCACCCGAAGGCCAAAAAATGCCTCAAAACATAGCAAAATAGGTCGCAAGTAACCCACCTGTTCCAGCACTGCCCCACAAAAGATTAGTGCATCATCTGCGTACAGCAAATAGGAAACACATAGAGATACTCCTGTGAAAGAATCCACCACAAAGCCCTCCAACAAAAGATTCAATTGCACTGCTTTGTCCAACAATCTGGTCAATACCTCCATCACTAAAATAAACAATAATGGTGACAAAGGGTCTCCCTGACAAAGACCTCGAAATGTCGGAAAGAAACCCGTTAAAGTGCCATTAACCAAAATCGACAACCACACAGTAGAAATACAGAATGATCCAAAACATACAATAAAAACTCCCATCGCAAATTGTCGTAGGCCTTCTCGATATCCAATTTGCAAATCACACCTGGTCGTCCCTGCATGGTCCAGGAATCCACACATTCATTAGACTGCATCTAAAATCTGTCGACCCCTCACAAAAGCATTTTAAGACTCAGATACTACTACCTGCAAGACCCCTTGAAGTCTATTCGCCAGTACCTTAGCTAATAGTTTATATACACTCCCAAGCAGACTAATTGGCCTAAAGTCTTGGATGTCCACGCCCCCCTCCCCCCCCCAATTCTTAGGAATCAACACCAAAAAGGTCGCATTAAAGCTTTTCTCGAACTGCCCAGACACATAAAAACCTGCCAGGGCAGCCATCATATCCGCCTTAACCACACTCCAACAATACTAAAAGAACGCTGCAGTGAAACCATCTGGTCCCAGAGCCTTATCCCCACTCATAGCCCACAAAGCCTGATACACCTTCTCCTCCGTGAAGGCCTGCTCTAAAGCCTCCCTATCCTCAGTCGAGATTATGTCAAAATGAGCCCCTGCCATCCCTGGCCGCCACTCCCCTTCTTGTGGCCGAAACAAATTGTGGTAAAAACCCACAATCCCCCCCTTGACCTCATCTTCATTGGCCAGGTCACGACCATCCACCTGCACTCTACTGATATGATTCACCCGACGATGAGCATTAGCCATCCGATGAAAGAACTTGGTGTTACGAACTTACGATCCCCACCTTTCAACCACAAACACCTAGATTTCTGTCTAATGCTCACCTCCTTCAAACTCGCAATGCGGACCCACCTCCTTTCTGGCAACATCCTCCAGCGATAAGCCCCTTTCAGCGTCTACGCCATCCAACGAAGATAATAAGGACACCACTGCCTCTATCTAACCTTCTAAACGGCCAAACACCTCCCCATTCCAGCTTTTCAATACCTTTAAATTTAATCGCAAACACTATTCACAACCATCTAATAGCCCTTATTTAACTCACCACCAAAACCCTACCCCATCAATCCCTAATAAAGCCAAAGCCTTTCCCATACCTTGGCCTTTCAATTGAACAATAAAAGAAGAGAGTTGCTATCCAGAACAAGCAGTTTATTCTCCACAAATCTAGCAATCCGTCCCTTTTTAAATTAAGCCAATTCCAACCCTTTCAACCTAGAAATGTTTTTATAGGGAAAATATCAAATAAGTCCTACTTTTTCCATTGAATTTCCAATGAGTCCTATTAATATTGCTAATTCATGTGTTAATAGGACTCAATAGAAATTCTATGGGAAAAGTAGGACTTATACCTTTTTTTTACACCAATTAAGACAAGAAGCTTCCATCACTTCACTGCAGAGTAACACAAACTTGTAGGCAGCATTGTTCTAAGTTTCTCTTTGGTGTCCTACATTTGCACTAAATACTAACAAGTAGCCCACATTTTCTCAATGTGTGGGAAAACATGATAAGAGTATATAGTTTCATTAAGTCTTCGCTTCTTTATAACTAATTACAAGAATATATATACAAGCTAGATAGGCATGGTGACATGTAGTTGATACCATAAAGTATACTTTCATCACACACACATCCACACTTGCATATGAACGTATGCTTGCTAATTATGTTGCATGACACCTTTGTCCTTAAATTTTTTAGAATAAGAGTAATATGAGGATCAATCCACAAGACTCACTACCTACGAAATTTGACTTGCATAAACAGAAATTTGGCACCATTCCCTTGCCTTCACTTAGTAAATTATTATTGAAAAAAAATACATCTTACTCCGGGTCTCCTAATGTCTGCAACTTATTTTTTTAATCATTTGAAAGCACTGTAACAGTGGCACCAAAGAATCCTCAGAAAAGTGATCCAATTTTGGGGAAAAAATAATATTCAACGAAGTATAATCATTCTAACAATATAAGAATCAAAGTTATGCATATTTCTTAATGAAACAAAAGCAGTACTGAACAATTTATAGCCAACCAAAAAAAAATTAATAGCAATCAAGTAGCAAACATTTAGCTTTACATATGCTGGCTAGCTATCAGTTAGTAATACGTAGAGTATCCATACTTCAAAATTAAGTAGATGATACTCCAAAATTTAAAAAAATATATATTAATTGACAAGTATCCGATACCTATCTGCAAGTATCCAAGAAGCTATCTGACACAGATACATATGGATACGTCACCCTTTAAATTAGATTAGATGACATGAGGAATCAAATAATTGTATAATTTCGATTTATGCTTTTCACGAATAAAAATATAAAGGTCGATATAATTTATAAACCGTCGAGAAGGAAAGGAAAAGAATTACCGCAAAAGTCAATTGCAATCTTCAAACCATTGTTTGAGCCATGAGTATACTCCTCCTCATTCCTGATCGAGCCATTAGGACCGCCAGTCTTCGTGTTAACATCATACGTCCCAGCATCGTGCCACCTGCAGCACAACAAAGCACAACAAATCTAACTTAACTCCTGTAAAACATCCATTTCAGATTTTCTCGGGAACCAAACAGAAATAGAGAGAAAAAAATACGCCAAGCGAAGCATGATTGGGGCGCAGTTCTTGCTGGAGATGAGAGCGCGGAGATCGCGACGAGCTTTGTCGATTTCCTTCAGATACTCGGTGTCTACGACTGGCATCGCCATTGAAACACTCGCTCTGAAACTTTTGATTCAAGCAAGAGAGAAGAAAGTGGATTTGATTTGATTGGGTTTTGCGGCGAGCGAAACGAAAAAACGGATTATAGAAGCGAGCGCCTTTGGGATAGGATAATTGGGTGAGTAGCGATCGCATGTGCTCGTGTTTAATGAACGGTGATGCAGATGGGTACGTGTCAACAAATCACAAATCAGATTTCACGGAATTTTTATCCCTCGATTTAATTCATTTATTTAAAATTAATAATGGACAATTATTATCCCTCTATTTAGGGTTGAGCAGCGGATATATCGATCCGTCAAAATCGACCGAATCGAACCGATCCGTCACATTTTGGACGGATGTGTTATGACGAGCGAACAGTTGCGGATTGATTTTCTCCAATCCGTCAATTTGGTGGACGGATGGCGGATTTGAGATTCCTTTAGCCGCAACCGAACCACCAAACCGCGAACACCCCTAATAGTTTATAAGACTTTATGTTTTCAATTTGTTTAAATATTTTGTTTGTCTTTTCAATTGAAAAAGAGTTAAATATTCAATTGAAAAAAAAATTTCAACTTGAGTATATTTTTTGAATTGAAAAAAATAAATGTATTGTTTATCTATATTTTTTTGTTTTTAAATTTAATTCTAAAAATAATAAATAGAAAATATGATATATGTTGGTTGGTTTTTATTTTCAAAAACATATATAGATGTAACAATACAGAGACATACAATCTCTACTACTGCCTTGTTCATGGTTTTGATGGTTTGAATTGTTATTATATTTTAAGAATCCCAGATTGTAATACTTTATTTGTTATTGTAATATATGGATGAGCCATGCAGTGATTGTGATATTCTAAAGTTTCAAACTTTTTTTTTGGATGAGACATACAGTGATTGTTATAGTTTTTTAAGTCGTTGACTGTAATACCTTTTTTTTTTTTTTTAAGAAATGCACAAGTTGAATTATGTTGAAAATTTATAAAATCTTAAACCGCCAAATCAATTCGCATCCATCCGCCAAACCGCCAATCCGCTCAATCTACATCCACCGGATTGGCGGACGGATGCGGATTGATTTTCTCCAATCCGCCAATCTGGCGGACGAATGGCGGATTGGAGGTTCCGTGGCCGCAACTAACTCGCGCCCACCCCAACCTCTATTTATTTCATTTATTTAAAATTAATAATGGACAATTATTATGCTATTTTACCAGTGTAATAAAAAAATATGTTATTCTATGTTCTAATTTTATTTAATTATTTTTTGAATTTAAAATAATATTAAATTTTTAAAAAAATAAAGATTGGGACCCCCTTTCCCCAACCCCTTTGACCCCCTTTCTTTTTTGATTGGTCACTTTTTCTTTTTCTTTTTTCTTTTTTTCTTCTCTTCCAATCACCACCCGCCAAGTGTGCGTGAGGTGGTGGGGGTTGAAGTTTGAGGGGGTCTAAATCACTACTGTTTTTTTAATAATGAAATGAAAATATCCATCTTACTTATTAAATAGAAAAATATTCTACTTACTTGTTTTCATTTTTCAAAAAATACTTTTAAGAAAATTCTATTTTCTTATTTTTCGTATTTTTTTGTTTTTATTGAATTTTTTTAATATTTTAAACAATTTTTTTACTTTTTAGACACACCTAACATAAATATACCTAAAAAATAAAAAAATTGTAAAAAAAATCTTTTAAAAATTCACTAAATACCAAAAATACAAAAAAAATATAAGAATTCAGTACATTTTTTGTATTTTTATGTATTTATTAATTTTTTTAAAATATTTTTTCATAATTTTTTTTACTTTTTAGATACATCTAAATAAGGTGCATCTAAGAAACTAAAAAAAAATGTTTAGAATTTTAAAAATATTCACTAAAAATATGAAAATCAAAAAACTCAATTTTCAAAAAACTTAATTCAGAAAATTTAAACCAAACACACTGATTTAGATTTGATTTAACTAGGTACTTTACTCTTTAAAAATGTATAAATAGATTTTGCAACTTAGGAAAATGTTTTCCTACCATCTTAATTTATTTATTTTAACGAATAATTTTGAGATTATCAAATTTTGTCTTAAATTCAAATTTTTTCCAGTCATTCATATGTTAATATAATTCAGACAAATTATGACTCATTGCACTAATATAATTATGATACATCAAATAAGTTAACATGACTGTGACAATCCCTTAAAATGCCACACAAATACACAACTATGATGGCATTATTTTTGGCAAAAGGAAAAATATGTTTAAATAAGTGCTCCATATTTAAAAATTAAATGAATTATATTCATCTTGTTTGGTTCTTAAATTTTGAATTTAATTTTTAAAAAATTTAAAAAATTTTGTTTAGTTATCCAAAAAATCATAAAAAAAATTCAAAATTTAATTTTCTGGATGTTCTTGGGAAATAGAGAAATATTATGGCCTTGTTTGGTTTGATTTTGAGAGAAATTTTTTAGAAATATACTCTATAAATACTTTTTTAAGAGTGATCAAACTAAACAGATTTTTCAAAAAAACTCTCAGAAATGTGTTTGGTTATCCAATTTTCAAGATTACTTTTGAAACAAGTTTGTCAAAAAGGCAAACCAAACAAATTTTTTTACTTTTTATCTTAAAAACTACTCTACAAAAAAAAACTAAAATTATTTTAGAGAGAATATTTAAAAAAAGGCAAACTAAATAAGTTTTTATACTTTTTTATGTCAAAAATTACTCTATAAACACAAACCAAACACACCCTATATATTTGACATAAAGTGATTAGATGAACAAAGCAGGCACTAATGACTCTACTTGCCTTAACAAACTGTCTATACATTTTCACAAAACCAAACTTAGTGTCGTTTTGGGAACCTTACAAAAACGCAGCGTTCTCAGCCCAAAATCAAAACACTGAAGTGTTGAAAAAGCTGAACCACCATTTGGGAAGAGCTGTAAACGCAACTTTTTGTTTACCAATCTACCCTCATATCTTATAAATTAGGGCCTAAGGCAAAACGAAACAACATTTGCCTCCTTCAGCTGCTTCATTCTGCGAACTCCTCCTTCAAGCGGCATCATGTAACTCCCTCGAACAACCGACGACCTTGCCGTCCCCCGCCGAAGCTGCCGCCGGATTCGTCGTCCATGTCCTCACCTTCGCCGGATCTACACATCAGGTACGCCAAAAACCGTCTTCCATTTATTATTGCAAGTAGTGACGGACCCAAAACCATGGATGAACGAGTTCTTCATATTGTCGACGACCTGCAGATTAGATCTGAAACACCAAGGTGTTCTGCACTTAGAACACCTGTAGATTAGATCAATGACACTTTTAAAAACTAAGAATTCGATTTATTTCCCATTAACTAAAGTGTAGTATATCTATATAATAAGGGAAGAAGGTTTTTTGAAAATGTATAAAATGTATGTGAGATACATTTTGATCCAATAGCTGAGATTAATCCCAAGTTGATATCAATGGCTGAGATCAATCCTCTCAAATAAAACAAACACTTAGTTCCCGCCCAAACATTGTTCTCTCTCTCCCACGTCTCTGAAAGGCCGCCCACCTACCCCTCTCTCTCTCTCCTCATCCTTGATTTTAAACCTTCTCCATCTCTCTGTCCAGCTCTCTGGTTTCGGTTCTGGATAGTTTTGGTTGTGCAACCTCCAATAAATGGGTTTCTATTTCACTCTTCAAATGGGTTATTGAAGATTTTGTGGATACCCATTTGGGTGGTAATGAAGATTTTTGTGGTTATTGAATTGTCTGGAGCTGATAGAACAGAAAAAAATGACTTGAAGCAACAGAGGAGTCGACATTCGCCAAAGAAAGTTTGACAAGAAGATTGGGAAGGCGAAACCAAGAAAGTTTCAACATGTTTCAATCACGGGTGATGAGTGCATTGATGTAAGAAGAGAGGAAGAGGATGAGTTCTCTGTCAAACCCATCAGGAGATCTTTCTCAATGGATTCGGCAAGTGATCCAAACGTTTACTTGGCAGTTCAAGAGATTATACGACAGAATCGGTGTTGCAATGAGGTTAGACATAGTGAAGAGTCTAGCAGCAGAGTCCGAAGACAGTTATTTCCCTTCGGACATGGACGGGGATCTAGAAGTGTAGTTCTTCCTATTGAGTTTTAGCAGTAAATCACAAAATTAATGCTCATCTGTTAAATTTCTTTCTGTATTGATCATCTTTAATTTTGTGATTAAGATAGTGAAACTCTTACAAGGGAATTGATTTTAGTTCGTCATGAAAAAGATTAGACGAGTGTTGGTAGATTTTGGGTTGATATTTATACATAGAAGAGTTGTCTATTGCTGAAATGTGATAATTGCCTAAACCATGAATGGATAGAACTCTAATTATTCTGTTTTGAAAATGATGTTTTTACCCATTCTGATTTTATCTAGAATGCCCTAGGGAGAAAAAATGATATTACACGTGATGGAAGCACCAGCATAGTGCACCCATTACATACAACTTTCTGCTTTTATTTAGAATGTCTCGGAGAGAGAAGAAGATATTATATGTAACAGGTGCACTTACGCTGTGTTTGGTCGACTCCTCTGTTGTCCTTTGGTTTCTCTCTCTGCAAATCAAGCAGGTTTTGTTGTGGGCTTTGGGGCAAAATCTGTAGAGGAGTCCTTCTTTCATCTCTCTGCTCCTCCTCTATTCTATTTATTATATACATAGATAATTCGTGTATTTGTTTGTATTGTTTAAAAAACAGAGGAGGAGCAGAGAGATGAAAAGGTGATTGAGAGGGCTTATAAAAAGCTTGCTCTTTATGCTTTGGTGATCCAACAAGGGCGATTAGCAGAACAAAAGAGTAAGTTGTTTTTGTAGAGTTTACCTTATCATGAATTTATATTCAAATTAATGTGAGTAAAATACTTTGATAGTTTATTGATTATTTTTTAATTTGTTTTGGCAGCTGTTAACAAAGATGAGCTGCTGCAAATGGTGAGGTTTGGTGCTGAAATGGTTTTCAGTTCTAAGGATAGCACAATTACCGATGAGGATATAGATCGGATCATTGCTAAAGGAGAAGCGGCAACAGCTGAGCTTGATGATAAGATG